ATGTGGGTGTAGATGAAAAGGAAAAAGAATTCGAATGAGATCGGAACGAAAACTTTATCCAAACCACAAATTTTCCTTCAAAAGAAGCGAAAGGACATACGACCATCAATTTTACCGAAAGCATGAAGCCAATTGATCGGGTACCTCCATTCAGAGATTATTGGAGTAGAAACAAAATATTTTACACAGAAGTCATTGCTAATTTTATGCCTAGAAACGAATTTTATTGAATATTTTCTGTCTTACATTTATTAGATCATATGAAACAAAGTCAATTATCAAGAAGCTCCAAGGAGTTCACATTGCTCAAAGTTTTTGACATCATTTGCTTACTGAAAAGGAATTTTCAGGAAAACTTTTGTTTTGGGAACAAACATCTGTATAGCCGAAAGTATGATTAAACACAAAGGCAGAAGTTCTCTGAAACAATATCTACCGGCAAAACCAATCAAAAGAGGATACAAAGTCTGGTGTTTAGCAGATTCTTTGACCGGATATCTTTATAATTTAGACATCTACACCAGTAAACAAGAGCACAAGCAAGGAACTTTAGGTGAAAGTGCCGTTTTACATCTTATTAGCGAGCTTAGTTTAATAGAACATCAATTATTTTTTGACAACTTTTTCACAACCTTTCCACTATTGTTACATCTAGAGAAGAAAAATATAGGAGCAACTGGGACAATAAGAACAGATAGGAAGCTATTTCCTGAGAACCCTCTACAAAAAAATAAGTTGGAAAGAGGTGAATATAAATACTCATCCGATCCAAGACGAACTGAAACAATAACCAGAATAGAGAAAGATGGTTCAGAGCTATCTATTACTTGCCCTGAAGGAGTTTCAAAATATAACAAGTTTATGCGTGGTGTTGATTTATTTGACCAACGAATCTCTCGATATTCAGTCGATCGAAAATCCCGACGAAACTGGATGCGAGTATTTCTTCATTTTTTTCAAGCGACTCTTTCGAACGCATTCGTCTGTTATGATGACTTGCATCAAAAGAATATGACTTATGTTGAATTTCTCTGTTTCGTCTCAATGTCACTAATTGGCGATCAAAGTTCACGAAGAAGAAGGAGTACACTTGTCCATTTGTCTCAAAACAAAGAAAAACAAATTCAACAAACGTTGGACAACACATCATCATCAGCCCACTTATTAGCGTATATGCCTGTCGCTGGGTCTAAAGGAAGATGCCGATATTGTAGCATGAAAGACTTTCCAATATCTAGTACGGTAAAATGTAATTTTTGTGGTGTTTCTCTTTGTGTGAAAAAAAAGAACTGTGTTTTGGTATTTCATCAAAACCTTGTGTAAGTTTTACAACTAATAAACATTAGTAACTGCATTTTCCACTGATGCGTACCAGAATTGAAAGAATCTACACGTTGTCTGTCGCATCAAAGTAAAAACGAGATATTCATGATGTATATTTACGTCTAGTATAGCCTTATCTCACCATTTACATGAATTGACTGAGTAAAAAAATTTGGAATTGAACGGGTTAATCAATTTCAAAATTTCTTTTTTATTTAATAAAATGAAAATGAATTACTCGATACAAATGAAACCGCAAGTCTATTATCAAGATAAGAGAACATATTTCAGAAAATATTGTTCTCAAATGTTAACATATGACCTCAGATTAACTATTTATGTTATGTCAAAAAGTAATCACCAAATTTGACTCTTCTTTGTTAAAGTTTTCTGAATCCTCCTCACATACATTTTTCTCTTATAAACAGGACTGATAGATAATAGATCTTTTATCACACTGATTTTCTCATGCATAACATTAATAATTTCGATGGGTTCATCGAATGAAAAGAATTTGTTTATTTCATGTTCTTTTTCTTGAATATTTGCAATAGAAAAGGCAACGGAATATTCAATAGGTAGCCAGAAAATTAATATGAGAATGGTATGAGACACATATAAAAAAACCATGTCATTCAAACAGTAAAAATTATGGTAATCTGTGTATATTAATCGAGTTTTCTGTTAATATAAGAAGATTATTCTTGTCTGCAAGAATAGCATTTCTAGGTGATGATTCATAAGTATGTTTTTCAACGACTACTTTTCCGTCAACGACGTGATAAAGTGTTGAACAACTCGGGCATACCGTCATCCAATGACCATTATTTAATGAACAACAGCGTATTTGGTGATCTCTAACGGTTAAATCTAACTGAACTGTAAAATACCGTTGCATAGTTGTTGTTAAGCAGAGATCAAAACGAATTTCATCTTTTTTATTTTTCACAATTATCCCCAAAATTTCATTATTCGCTGCACAATGAAGAACCTGTTCGTCACTTGTAAAAGGAACAGATAACTGATGTTCTTGCTTAAATTCAACTAATGGTCGAAGAATATATTCACATATAGATGGACTCCAAGACGATGTTATTAAAAATAAACTATTGCCTGAGCATGCTCCACTATAAAAGTCAATTGCATTATGTTTTTCAGCAAGTGGAAATGAATTAAGTCCCATAACTTTGTCATTGAATATTACAAGTTTTTTCTCAGCAATAAAAATAAAAAGACCAAGCACATTGGACCATAACACATTATAAAGATTACCATAAGGCCATTGAAATGCTTTTAAAATTTGCCATTGTCGATTGTACACACAAACCATATTACTTTGAATAACCACTAAATGATCATCATTTACTGCTATACAGCCATTATTTCCTTGGAATTTAATCTCTTGATATGGCTTTGTGAGTGGAAAAGGATACTTAAATACTGATTTATCCAAGCTAATGTTAATTAGATGATCGTCAATTGTTAATAGAGAAAATGTTGATTCAACATTAACAACTTGATTTATTCGTTCGTTAAACGATTTAATTGAATTTTTCATTGAATCAATTGATTCTTGTGTAAGATTTTGTTCTTCTTTTAATTGAATGATTCGAGCTTCCAGTTGGTTAATATCAGCTTTTTGTTTTTCTGTTTCCTGATCAAGTAAATCAGTGAATTCTTCTCGTTTTTTCTTACAATATTCGTCAACACGATGATGTATGTTATCACGCCATTTATCAATACTATCAGAAAATTTGGATTTCATAGATAATTTTTCTGAATCATCAGCAGGATGTTCTATTTTGTTTTTCATTTCTGAAAGCTCAGTCGCTAGTTTATCCAGTTCTTCTTTTAAAGGATTTTTCACCTCGGGTTCTCGAGGTAACTCGTGATTTTCTAAATAAATAAACAATAAATATTATTAAAATGAACAAAAATGATAAACAACGAGTACGACTAACATTATGGAATTTCATCTTTTTCTTTTCAATATCTTAATGAGAAATTTTTAATTTTTTAAAATTGTACACGATGATGATAAAAGTTTTAGTATTCAAGTAATTACAAGTTATTCTTAGAATAAAAAACAATATTTGAGTTTTAACTACATCAAGATCATGTATGCTACGGTGAAGTAAATTGAAACTAAAAAAATATTTTGGCTGTTTTGCCCTAGAATACTGACTATTGACTTTCCAATTGACATTTGTTATAGTTCAAAAAGGATAGATCTAGAAATCATAGAAAACTCCTAATGGATTCTATCAAAACTTATATCGGTCGAAGTTTTCAAATCTTTTATTGAGCAGGTCTCAAGAAACTCCAGAAATGGTATACTCTGAACATTTATATAATGATTACTCCATCAATCTATGTTGAAAATTGCTATCTATGGTGCAATTATCGTAAGATTATTTTGATAAACTCTGCATTTGGATAATATTTTTATAAACGAAACAACAGACCTAATTGGGAATCGGGTTGTGAGAGACTAATTGGTTCTGAATGATTGTTTTCAATATTCTTTTGTTGAATAACATGAGTTTTTGGAGGTGTCTGATTCGATTGTGCCTTAAATTGGCTACGAATTGTATATTGATCGACATCAGCACATTGATTTTCCACATGATAGGAAAAACTTCCTCATTGTATAAACTTTTGACATTTTGGACATTTAACAGTTTCGGTAGCGCATACAATAAGATGAACTTCCATCATTTCTTTCGATTCAAAACCATCAGCACATAAAGGACATTTTTTCTGAGAATACTTACAATTTTTTCTCTGTATAAATCAAAGTTGACAAGATAATAAAACTTCAATATTAGTAAAAAATGAAGTATACTGACCTGATGATAATCGAGGCTTATGAAATCGTGGTATATTGCTTGACAATTACAAATAAATACTCTCCGTTTTTCTGCCATTGAATATCTTTTTTACAATTAATATTATTTTAAATCTACAAACAGATAAGTATACAATTTTTTAAACGTTATCAACGAAAAAAATTATTCGAGTTATATAAATTAAAAAGAAGTTTGACAGAGTATTCCACATTAGTTAACTTTAACTTGCTTGATGCTTGGAAATTGAATGTGTTCTTTTTTCATTTGTATAGAAAAAAACTCTTACGAATCATGAATGAGTGAAGCCTTTTATGTGACTGCTGTTCTTTTTTTTCCAACTTATCCAAGAAGCAGAACACGTGCGTACTTATATGAAGAGAGAGTGATTTATTGCTTGTCGACAGCCACCTGATGTTTTTAGCACAGAAAGGAAATACATTTAGTATTGTATCGACATCAAATGAAAAAACATTCTAGGCCTCAAAATGTAACTATATTTGAAACAGAAGGGTGTGGGTGTGGGTGTGGGTGTGGGTGTGGGTGTGGGGTGTGGGTGTGGGTGTGGGTGT